TTTGTCCCAGGTAAACGTACTCGTCAACAATTTCGTGCATAGTGCTCCCAACAACTACCGGCATAGGTGTGACATGGACATTAAACATAATCTTTGTTTTGTCCATGTTCATCTTAAGACCTATCCGTTGGGAGGCACTATTGAGGTCATTGAGCATAGTGCTTAAGTCCTCCAGCGATTCTGCCATAAGGACTATATCGTCGGCAAATCGAAGGTGAGTGATGTACTCGCCATTGATGTTAATACCGTATCCTTTCCAGTCCAATAGCTTGAAAACGTCTTCCAATGCAGCGCTGAAGAGTTTCGGGGATATAACGTCACCCTGTCTTACACCTCTCTGCAGTTGGATAGGTTTCGAGCTCTGGTTCTGTACTCGGATAGCCATCGTAGCCCTACTGTACAAACACTTCAGCACTTCGATATACCGACAGTCAACTTGGCACCGCTGAAGGGACTGTAGCACCGCCCAAATTTCGACGAAATCAAAGGCTTTCTCATAGTCCACATACGCCAAGCAAAGTGGCAGATTGTACTCTTCAGTCTTCTGTACAATCTGCCGCAGGGTATGTATGTGGTCTATGGTACTGAAGCCTTTTCGGAAACCGGCTTATTTGGGAGGCTGGAAGTCGTCGAGTGTGCGTGCGAGACAATTCGTAATGACTCTCGAAAACAGCACGTAGACGCGGCTCAGAAGGGAAATTGGTGTGTAGTTCTTCAAGAGAGCGTTGTCGCCTTTCTTAAAGAACAAGACCACCGCACTTCTGCTCCACGCCTCTGGAGTAGTGCCACCATGGAGGACGGAATTGAAGAGCTTCTGAAGGACTTTAAGTACCGGTTTCCACCCGCTTTCAGAAGCTCCGCTGTAATTCCATCCTCGCCTGGGGCCCTACCGTTTTTATGGTGCTGGAGAGCCATTCTAATCTCGCTTAGACTGACGTCCGGGATATCATCGGAATAGTGTCGGACAAGACTTGCTCTTGGATCGTTACTCACACTTGCTTGTGGTGTGTGTTTTTTACCTCATTATCATCCATTATAGTCCACTTCACTATCGTCGTATATAATCTTATCGGGTATATCTTTTACATACCCGATGTATAATGGGATTTTCGTTAGTAGCCGGTTATTGTTGTGCTTTCTTTTAAGCTACTATTACAAAACCATTAAGAACTCACGTAAAAGTCTGATAAGAGCAAGTAAGGCATCACAATTGAAAATTTATTCAGAGCTCTATAGGTCACGTACATATCTAACCCTCCACTGGCTATGCACATAATACCCGCTGTAATACAATACTTGGGGCCAGTACTAAACTGCTATAAGTATTGCAAGTAGGTCCGGCATTTGGGGAACGCGGTACGCATAACAATGCTGGAGCTTAGAGAAAGAAAAACACGTTTTCAGAAGGTTAATGGATATGGTATATGAAACTTGAAATGTACATAATAGCAACTGTTTAAATAAATTCCGAAAAAGCATAATTAGAGAGATTTTTTAATATAGTAATAAATATTGTATATTAATTTTATGTAAATACCTTAGGATAAGGTATATTAAATATATTAGAGAGATAGGTCATTATGTACGATGGAGTTGTGTTATGTTGTCGTTTTCTTTGCATTGGCAGTTGGTCAGGCCTCTGTCACTCTTGCTACCTGCGTGAAATAATTACCTAAAATCGCGAGTCATCGACGGTGTAACACGCAGGTGAGGCTAGCACATTGTAGACGATTGAATGTTAAAGTTTTTATAGTCAACCAAATCTAAGAAATACCTTTTGACATTTCACATTAATCATTCCGCAATAACTTTGCACAAGCGTAATCACAGGATTTAAAATAACCTTTTACTTAAATTTGAAGAATTATGAAGTTATCTATATTTCATTACAACGTGTATAGTTTTTTATCATCAATTTAAATTCTAACCTTTCAAATAATGCAAAATATTAAAAAAAAATAACTAGTATCAACATTTTACTTGACGTCGTTTCAATTATATGTAACTATGTAATTTACCGTAGTGTTTGGATTATGAAAATTCATTGTTATGCGAATAATCAGCAAAAATATTCAAATAATCGGTTAAAATATTCAAATAATCGAATCATTGATTTTTTTAATGTATTATTAGTTTAGTTATTTTTTATTTTTAAAATTCTTCAAATTACATGAATCATGAATAACACGAGTTAATTTTGAAATAATACTAGTTTTTACGGAATTTATCGCGTATATTTAACTTTTAATACCCGACGTTTCGAACGCTTTACAGCACTCATGGTCACGGGCAGGACTGAGATGTTCAACGTCCATATGTCATAGTTAACCGCGGTTACCATAGATTAAAATTTAACTTTTGTTCCGAAAATTTTAATCTATGGTAACCGCGGTTAACTATGACATATGGACGTTGAACATCTCAGTCCTGCCCGTGACCATGAGTGCTGTAAAGCGTTCGAAACGTCGGGTATTAAAAGTTAAATATACGCGATAAATTCCGTAAAAACTAGTATTATTTCAATGTGTAGTGTTCGCGTAAATATAAGAAATCATTACGAGTTAATTTTTTTTACTTTGTCAACGTAAATTTGTGCAGGCAAAAAACTCATATACATGGCCGTGCTTAAAAAACCACTACGTAATTTCAATCTCCCGCCATTTCGGGAGCTTATTCTGCGTAATCTTGTGATTTTGTGTTTGTCTTCTTATTTTGTGACTTGCTTTAAGCCTTTTTAATTGTTTCTTCTATATTAGTTGAAGCATATACTCATGTCACAAAGGATCGTTGGGCAAAAGTGGTAAAAAAGAAAACGAAAATATTGATTATGGATGATTTTGAAAAAGACATTAACTTTTTCTGCATTATTGAAAATCAAATAATAATTAATCTAAACAACGACTGCTCAACTAATTGTACTGAAAGCGATTGAATAAATTTATTTTTAATCTAGTTTCAATCTTAAAGTTTTATAACTGTGCCTCTAGAAATAAGCAGTAACCACAAATACGAAGAAACTGATAAATCTTATGTTTTAAATTATCCGTTTTTAATTTATTCTGTTATTATTAAAACCAAAGTGTAAATGATTACCAACTCTAAAAAATCGGTATCGATTTCTTTAAGAATCGAATATTGTACGTTCCCAATTATTGGGATGCATGCCAAATGCTTGGTTCAATAAGTCTAACATTTGTCAAAATGTATTTCTTAGATTTGGTTGACTATAAATGCTGTTTACGTAAATAGTTTGACGTAAATACTTGTTGAAATATAAAATAGTTGTAAAAGTTTTAATGTAATTTAAAATTATATATTATGTATAATTACCTATTTGATAAATTATAATGGCAAAACGTCGTTCTTATTATAAGTGTTGCGTGGATGGATACTAAATGACCTACAAAAGGTTTCATATCATTCTTGAAGTTACCGAAGGATTTTACAAGTAAGTTATGAAAGGTGAATTTATTTAATTTTTTTTATTAGATAGCTACTTACAGTAAAAAAGAAATAAGTAATAATTTGATCTACAGAAGAAATACCTAAGTACTTTATTGCAAATATTAGTTAAAATTTACTTCACTATCCAAGTATCTACTTACATACCTATACTTGTCTTTTGTTATTATAATATTTTAAGTCATAATAACATAAAATTCTGAAATTAAAACTTTGTATATTCACAAGATTTTTAACTAAGTAGAATAGATCACATTTCTGTTAGGAATCATATTTCAGGTTTATTTGTTGTGTGTGACAGTGTAAATGTCTATACATTTCTTCCGAAGCAAGCATCGCGATTCTCGATGAATAGCTCGACCTAGCAATTGCATGCGTTAGGCATCCCAGAATTCACATAGGGGCGAAAATATGGTCAGTCGATCATAGTCAGAATAGGTACTTCACCTAAGTAACTTAATTAACATTTCACAATGTTTTTTTTAATAGTCACACGAGACGCCCACGCAGGCGTGGACCACGACGTGGCAGAGGCGTGCGTGTCCGTGGTGGGAGAGGAGCGGCGGAAGTCGTGGCTAGGGCTGAAATTAGGGAGTCGTGATGGTCGAGAGAGCCGTGGCCTGTATAATGCCAGACCAGGTCCTTACACTATTCACAAGCTAGCATGTTTTATTTACTAATTAAATATCGTAATTATTTTTTACATTTTGTATTATTTAATATTGTTATTTTTACGCACTGTGTTATATTTTTCGAGTGTATGTATGTTTTTTTTTCTTGCAATTCGCTATTTTATCATTACAAATCGTTTGCTTTTTTTTAGATTAATAATTCGAAATATAAATGAGATGCCACCAGGCCAGGCTCTTGAGAGATCTTTACACGTAAAACGGCAACGCATGTGACAACCGTGAGTAGTATCCTATACCTTTAAACGAGCAATTCTTGTATATATATTATATAATCGAAATCTCGGAAATGGCTCCAACGATTTTCATAAAATTTGGTGTCCAGGGCGTTTCGGGGGCAATAAAAAGATCTAGCTAGGATTCATTTTTAGAAAATGTCGTTTTGTTCGTGTTTTCAGGCAATAAGAAAATGCTACAATTAAAGAAGGTAAATTTTGACACTTTATTAATGATCGTAATAGCTCAAATGGATATCGAGCCTTCGCGAAAGTGTTGTGCCCTGGTTCGCGTCCTGTCTTCGGTCCGACTTTTTTCCTTTTTTTCTTCAAATTCACTTCTTTTGTGAGAAAATCTATTATTAATCTATTATATTTGGAGCCCTTTTTTTTTAGTATTTTTTAAAAATACGAAAATTTAGATTAAACTAATTGCACTTATGATTTTTTATTCAAATAACCAGTTCAGTTTTTTCTATTGTCGGTAAAATCAAAAAATATTACCTATTCATATTTCATCAGTATATAATTTGTATCTAAATATCATCTCTCTCAAATCTCATCTGGTCATCCAGGTACTTATTATTTAACTGTTCAATAGCATTAATGCGTTATGTTACACTTTTGTTTAAACATGTCGAAATGTCTTTGTAGGTCTGACCAACTTCCACCTCCGACACTACCGCACGCACTTGCGGAAACCATAACTTTGGCCGCTTCTTCGCCAATGTAAGTTGTTGACTATTTTACTTCATCTTAATTTTTACTTTGGTTTATAATTTCTTGTTAATACGAAAATTTACTTTTATTTTAAATGTCGGAATGTTTTTATAGGTTAGATCATGAACCAGATTCTGGGGTACGACCATCGACGTCGCTGTTATCAGCTGTACCCTTTGGTGCTGCTGATGTACCACCGGCAGGTTCGGTGATCGCGTCGGCAATGCAAGTTTTTTTAATTGACTATTTTACTATTTATTAGATTTTTTCTTTTTCTTTTTTTTTCAAAAACTTTCAAGCCCCGCACTAGGATTCTCTCTTTCTTCAGTCTACATCTGCCTCCACGATACAGGAGATGCATATCATGCCAGTCTACATACATAAATTGCACAAGGACAAACATCCAGACCCGGAACAATTGCTTGTAGGCCATACAAATACTTGTTCCGTGCGGGATTCGAACCCGCGGCCCTCAGCGCTATAACTCATTGTCAAGCTACTGCGCCACGGAGCCGTCAAGCCGTCGTTTTGATTAAGGGTATATTATTTCAAGATTTATTAATCTAGAAATAACTACAATATACGTCAAACTATTATTCGACCTATATTTTAAATGTTGAAATATCTTTGTAAGGTAGACTAAGGCTCCGATATAGGACCACAACCTTGGGCGGGGCCATCATGGGCATTGTCGTCAAAGGCAGCAATGTCATAGGCAGGTTCGGTGCCCTCGCCGCCATGCAGCAAGATGACCTTTCATCGTTTGTTACAGGCAGCGAAGCAAGCTCTGACGAAAGCGACGAAGAGGAGGAATTGGCGCGTCCGTTCCTGCCTCGGACGGTCATCAGTTTGATGGACACAACGATCGACATCGAGCCTGGTGATAAAGCCACCTCCTTCGCTCATTCAACCACCACTGACTGGGATAGGTTGCCTACCGCCGCCGCTGTACTTACCAGTGCCAGTATGTTTCATGTTGCTCCAACGACGACGGACCAGCCTTGGAGCTTTTCTGATTTTCATTGGGTAGCCTTCCATACTACCCCAATTCAGCCTAAATCGAGGCACGAGAGCTTCTCATCAAGAAATCTTGGTCCGACAGCTCCACATGTCGACCCATATGACATTTTTGTTGCCATGTGGGATAGGCAGTTTATGGAGTACCTACATTGCCTCAGAAACAAACAGATATGCTCAGTAGGTGGCCGACCAGATGTTCCACGATAACAACCTCCATCCCAATAGCCGCATTACAAGATGGGTGGACACTAATGCCGACGAGCTGTACACCTATCTTGCTGTGGTTCTTGCGATGGGGGTTGTTATCAAGTCGAGGTTAGAGGAATACTGGTCGATTGTCTCTGGCATATTCTACACACTCGGCTTTAGCGCACCCATGCCATATAAACAATTTGCCCTACCGCTGTCATCTTTGTGTAATCCTGTCCATTCATTGGTTGTCTGGAAGAAATTGCTATCACCAATAAGACTGCCCAATTCATACTTCTTTTGTAGATATAATCTATAATTTTTATATGACGTGTAATAAAAATATTAAATAAAATAAATAGAAGTAGTTAGCATTAAAAAGGATCCCTGGCTTCAGCGCTCAAGGAACGCAGCAGCATTTTCTGTAAAAGCGAGGTTCTTCGTTGGACTACATATTTTTTTACTTCACTTATATATAGTTTCGTTTAACAAGCAAAATTTGCCACATCCAGTCCATTGTGCGTCCGCGTTACGCGGCGATCTTAACTTAGCTACTTTATTTGTGAGAGGTGAGGCCCGCTGAAAGTGAGATAGTTCGCTTCACTTTGCCAAGAAAGTCGTTGGCACGCCGACCACGTATTGGACTTTTTAACTTTACTTTCGTGTGGGTTTTTAGTGATTATGTAAGTTTCAATACAGTTTGAGCCTGCAAAGAAGTAAACGACAGGCATCGTGACTTGCGTTTAAATATCTTACCGAAGAAATCCCACTGTATTTGTAGGAGAGTTTTGTTTATTAAAAATGAAAATGTAACCCTGCCGCCTGCAGTCTAACATTTCCCTAGTATATTATAAAGTAATCGATGTTTTCCCAACGCTACAGTTATATATATATATATATATATATATATATATATATATATATATATAATAAAAAAATTACAGTTACAGCTTACTCAAGTCACTGCTGAACTGCCTCTCCCATAACCCGGGGGATATTGCCATAGTTGCCACCTTGCACAGAACATTTTTTATTTTATGTCTTTATTAGGAAGATGCTGCTGCCCATCTGATTTGTTTCACTATGTCGCCTCTTAAGACACCGTGAGCGTACCAGTAATAGGTATACTGGAGTAAATATATAGGTACGTGAAAAAAGCTTTTATAGGTAAATTTTTGAGGCCATTGTTTTGTCCCCAAATTACATTATGATTTATGACCACCTAACCATTATCCGACCGTTAAAAATCTTTTATGTTTTAAATACATAGATTGACTTGGCAATCGCTCTAAACGATCTAATTTAATATAATATGTATTACTTGTGAGATACATTGTGTTTTCATGCGATGGCCAAGTCAATCCATTTATTTGAAACATAAAATAATTTTAACATTGATATGGTCGCTATAAAATGTTGTTAGGTTAGTTAATTACGTAATAACTTAAAACAGAAGGACCCTTGAGTAGGGACTGAATAAATTAACCGACTTGGTATTACATGGATCTCACAACTTTTTACGGTAGAAAAACTGAGTTACGAGACTTGTTTTTTTTTACAAGTTGTGTTTTTGATGGCATTAATATTTATTCCAAGAATTTTGGCTGTAACTAGGACAGATTTACAGTTAGGCACTTTTTAGTATAATATTTATGTATTTAATAAATCGCATATTTTGTAGGTATTACTATAAAAAAGTAAAGTCACAGCCTATATAAGTCCTACTGCTGGGCACAGGCTTCCCCTCATTTCTGAGAGAGTTTTAGGACAAGGAAGTGTCCGCCGCGCTGCCCCAATGCATGTTGGCGAACTTCACATGTCTTCGAAATATATTTTTTCTTATTTCTTAGACATGCAGGTTTTCTCACGATGTTTTCCTTCACCGCCGAGTACGTGGTAAATCAGCACTTAAAATTGAAATTAACAATTTTCGGGTTCGGGTTCTTTTCTTCCTTTCTTTCTTGTCCTCTTTATTTTTCGTTTCATTTCGACTGGAAACTTTAGCGCACAATAAACTATAATTTATACTATACACTCAACGAAAACTGTTGCTTAAGATGTATAAATTCAGCATGTGAGCAAGGATGCCATCTCCAGATTGGATATTTATGAGTCTCGGGATATGTACACTTCATAAATAAATCCGTGCACGGTACTGTACGAAGATTATTGCTTTTACAACACACTTTATCGTAAGAAAAGTGCAATAATGTGATTGGCTCTGAAACTTTTTATTTTCTTTTACTTAATATATAATTCAAGTTCGTCATTTATCATCATCATCATTACGGTATTTCACAGGGCCAATGCTGAACACAGGCTCTTTTGAAGGTATGCTACAAAACACAGTCCAGAGCCATCTGCATCTTTTTAGTTCGTTACCTTACAGCCTATTGTAGTCCACCGCTGAACATAGGCCTCTCCCATAGGTTGCCTCATAGACGGGATATTGGTCATAGTTGCCACGCTTGGCAAGCGGGTTGGCAATCGCAGGTTTTTATTTTAGTTCTATTAGGAAGACGCTGCTGCTCATCTCTTGATTCGTTTCCCTCTGTTACCTCTTACGTCACCCACGACTGATATGGGAGAGTCGATACTCTTACGCCACCATTACACGGTTAATTTTCAATTCATTATCATTTTAAATAAAAAAATCCTTTCGTAATTTTACATTCGACTTTGAATTCCTTTAAGTAATAACATATTACTGTTATAACATTTTTTTAAATAATGTCCTCCTTAATTTCAGTTAAGGAGGCTAGCCATTTGCGCGGGATAGGATTACAGTTTCTAAGTGCATGCGTAAGCACAGGTGCAATTTCTATTGCCTCACTTTCGTAGTCCGATGGGATGGTAAACCGACACGACTGGAAAGAGACGGCACGGGGTTGAGACACCGCTATCTTCTTGACACCGGGCAGCTACTAAGAATTCCTTTTTTCCTTTGATCCGACACGGGATTCGAACCTCATTTGGGACCTCAAGATTAGCAGTCGCGTTTTCAATCACTGGACCACCGCGGCAGTCAATTGCTTTAAAACTCGTTATGCATCGTTTGTCATCCTGACAGGGAGTTGTTATTATCAGAAAGATGCTGCAGTATGTACACCCAAGGTATGATATGAGGCAGTGGATTCTTTCATACCGTCACTAAACGGCAATAGTAGCCTTAAAGATTAACGGAGATAAGGCCTAAGGATAATTCATACAATCTCAGAAACCCGAGTGCGATCGTCGTAAATCAATTTTTTTCAACCCCGGGTTTTTTTCAAAAAAGATTTTTGTAGGAGTTAATAGGATCAGTGTAGTCTATAAAAACAAAGTTTGATTTTGATGCAACTTGGTACGAGATTCCATACATCTATGGGCATTCTCCTTTATAGCTATAATTTAAGTGCTGATTTACTGCATGCTCGACGATGAAGAAAAAGATCTTGAGAAAGTGAAAAAGTGAAGAATTAGAACATCATGTGAAATCCATGCGGCGGGTTCTTCCTGTTTCAAAAACCGACTCAAAAACGAGAGTCCAGCTGTGAGACTTACGTTGTTAGTTAACTATATCGACGCTTGAAAGGCAATAATTACCAAGCGACATGTTGGGCGATATTGAGATAGATACATCATTGAAATCAGCAGAAAATTCTGCGTCGGTATGTCATACTCTCGTACCGTTGTAACACTTTTGTTGACGCTTGGTAACTTAAAAAAATCACATTTTCGCAGTTTTCAGACCAGCGACTAAAATTTTACCGATTTATGAATAATTATCATTTTTAGGTATTAGATTTTAGCTTTATACACTTAGTAATTTTTGTCTCGACTCAAATTAATGAGTTTAAACATAAAGCATTTTCTTAGAGTATCTAGAGTATAAGCATTACTTAAGAAATTTTACCGGACTAAATTATTTTTTTCTCGTAATTTAAGACTTTTTAACTCACTTAATTATGTACTATTTAATTATTTTTTTTAATTATTTCATTCTTTTTACTTAAAACTTTTGACTTTAAAATGTAATATAGTAATGTTTTTAATAGCTAAAAATGATATTTATTATATTTTGTCTTTTTGTAATATTTTACCAGCTGTATTTTATTATTGTTTATGTTACTGAGATAACTATTATGTTATGAAATTTGAATAATAATGAGCTTATTCCTGTTGCGTGTATTTTTTTTTGTCGCTTACGCACAGTAAAGGAGATTTTGAGTGGCTGTTGGTAACAAAATATCGATTAATCTTCATCGAACTGTCGCATAGGATAATATGCCAAATATACGTAGTAACTAAATATAATAGTAACTAAAGCTCTAAATTGTTAAGACGTGATCTTAATTGAGTTGTTATATTGATAGTTTACCAAAATTATTTTCGCTTATGTTGTATTGATTGTGAAACGTTTTTGTTAAGATATTTTTTTTGAGATATCAAATTTGTATCTAAGTTTAAAAACTTGATAGTAGTTTTCTTCTCAGTTGGAATTTTGTTTTACCAACCTATACTGGTATTGAAATTACTTATTTTAGTAATACCGTTAGTATGATAGTAACTTTTTTAATTAATTTATACAAACAGTTGATTTAAACTATCTTAAATATTCAACGCCAGCCTACATTCTTTATAAGATCATCTATCCACTTTGCAAGAGATTTTTCAGCAATGTTCGTATGTTAGAGGTCTATATAGACGTTGTTAACAAAGGGTTAGTCACTGGTCTAGAACCTCCATCAACCCGTAGTAGAGCAGCGTGGTGGATTATGCTCTAATTCATCCCTCATCAGATGGAGGCCCATACTCAGTAGTGGGTGATTGTAGATTACTACAAGGGCTGTAATTATATATGATGATGATGACGATATCCGTCGAAAACCTTTGTCGGTAAGTTCTTGATTTTGAGTAATAAAAACTTATTTCATTGTTACTTGTTCAGAAAAAATTTACACTAATCTTATTTAATTTGCAATATGATTAAAAAGGCTGGCAGATAAGTTTTTTGGTTTTTATTTGGATAAAATTATCCTACCTACATGTCACAGATGAGATACTTCTGGATGCATCATTTTTCTTCAAACACAGTTATAAAATAACGAGTAGTAGTTAATAATACTTGTTTTATAATAAAATTTGATGTCGGTAGGTAACTTTTACCTGTTTGTGATTTTGCTGAAATTATTACTAACCGACACTATTTCATAAAATATTAAGAAAATTCATAATCTACAAACCCCAATTTACTAAGTCTTTAATCTGCATCTAAAATTCGTTGGAATCGAGTAGTAATGAATAATAGGCGATTTTTCAAGATTTTTTTAAAAAGCAAAAACCTTAAGTACTTTTAGTACTTAATTTTGTTTGAAATTTCAATATTTCCAATCTGTGATGCTACATCACACATTCCTTGTTCCATGTATGAAAGATTTACACATAGAACCGTGTTCAGCCGTGTAGTGTTGGTGTAAGTATATCCACTACCAAATATCTGAAACTGAACCAGAAGATGAGCAGCTGCATCTTCCCAATAAAGTAATAAAAAAATTGCCGTTGTCAACGCTCCCGCCAAGTGGCAAAATCCCCTATGAGGTCTACGGGACTATCGCCTACTGAAATCTATAGGGTGAGCCTACGTTAAGCAGTGGACTTGTGAAAGGCTGTAATATCCTTCGGTAATATCTAATTATTAATTTATTCTGTGCTAATAAATACATGTTCATGTTTGTTTATAATTTCCAAAAATTGCACATATTTTCGAAAATGTAATGTATGTGAATGGTGAATGTGATACAAGTAAAGTAAAAGAATTGCAGTGCGATTTAAAAGACAGACAGATAACTGAAGAAATAGAATGAGAACAGTGGGAGAACATAAATCACGAATATATTGTGGCCGTAGTAGGAAAATGGGAGATCTCCCGCCGGGCAAGGTGTTATGCCCGGGGAGCGCCAACGTTCCGTGTGATTATTCGGAGATGTTCTATATACGCTGTTTATGATTCGGAATGTTGATAGCGTGATTTAAGCTTCGTTGTGTTTCGCTTGCAGCGCGACGACAGCGCCGCCACATCACCCCCTGCTCAGACCGGAGGTCGATAGTGCAGTCCGATTGCCGGTGTGTCCTTTTAATGCCGGTGGGGAATGCATGCTGTGTGCGTAAGGGCAAGTGACACCGGTGCGAATGATATGCCGATGTGTAATGCATGACGCACTGGCAAGTGATGCCGGTGAGAACGATGTGCTGGAGCAAGTGCCAGAAGTCTGCCTTATAAATCTGCGGTGATTCGAGATGAAGACAAGTTGAACTGGCTTGCAGGAACTGAAGATTGCAGAAGACTATTCTCAGTAGTGAATGGTAGGGGTTCTTGAGGATAATGACGAAAGGCTTGAAGTTGTAGTTTCCGAAGGTTGTTGGTTGCGTGTTCAGATCACGTCGGGTGGTCACCACTGTGGCCGGTGATAGGTAAAGTGGGGAGATCTCCCGCCGGGCAAGGTGTTCTGCCCGGGGAGCGGCCAACACTCCATGTGATAGTTCGGAGATGTTCTATATATGCTGTTTATGATTCGGAATGTTGATAGCGTGATTTAAGCTTCGGTGTGTTTCGCTTGCGGCGCGACGACAGCACCGCCACAATATAGACACTAAAAAAGGAAAATAATAAAACTGTAAAAACAAAGCGAATGGCGAAAGTAAGAAAAACAGGGACCGTGGAAACATTAATTCAAAATTTTAAATGTAATATACCGATTTTCAAAAAACATTATTACAAATGGAAACATCAGCAACACCAGTACCGAAAGTGTATAACCGAACTCAAAAAAAAAATGAAGCCGTACTACTCTGTGACTTCTCAGAAAATTACTGTGGTAAACTAGCTGAGGAAGTACAATCTATGCATTTCGGTGCCGCGAAACAACAATTTACCCTACATACAGGGATGATTTACTGGGCTGGAGCTTCACAGTCATTTTGCAGTATTGCTGATAAAAACGCCCATAATCCAGCAGCTATATGGGCTCACCTTTTGCCAGTCATAAAGTTAGCCAAAGAATACAATCCTTTACTTAAGATTATTCACTTTTACTCAGAAGGTCCATGTACTCAGTACAGGCAAAAGAAATTTTTTTTACACAATTTATTTACCTTTAAACTAGGCCTTGAGTACTCAACATGGTCATTCACCGAGAGTGTACATGGGAAAATCAGTAGCAGATGGAATAGGTGGTGCAGTAAAGAGGTCCCTGGACAAACAGGTAGCTTATGGTAATGATGTTTCCCGTGGTGAGCAAGCTGTGAAGATATTGTCAAAATGCATGAAGTCAGTGAAATGTCTTTATAGATTTGACAATGATATAGACAACATAAATAAACTGGTTCCTGAAGACTTGAAGCCTTTAACAGGCACTATGCAGCCACACCAAGTTATCGTTAAATCACCTGGAGAAATTCAATATCGCCCACTATCTTGTTTTTGTGGCTTCCACAGAGGATTGTGTGATTGCTTTGGCTTATTTACTCATACCTACGGAAATCCAATCCAAAAAGCTGAACCTAGTTGCTCTAATCGTACAAGTAAAGTTACAATAACAGCTGAAATTCATGCAATGCCAATCCTTAGTTCAAAAAAGTTGTATCTGTCTCGTCCAAACAAATACATAAAATTCCAAAGAGGAAGATATTATAGAAGTAGAAATGGTTAGCGACAATGGACAGGAAAAGGAAAAACAAGAGAGAGTATAAGAAATTTATTCTGCAACATTTAAATGTAGAGAAAAGGATAAAGAAAAAATAGACAAAGAAGTCAGTGGTGAGATAATAGGATCGGAAGAAAAAAAGGAACAAGACAAAGGATACGAGATCAATGGTGCGGCATTTGATTCAATTATAATTCCTTTAGATAAAGATTTGTTATTTGATTTAAATAATATTGAAGAAATATGTGATAATCTAGAAGTTTTGGACGAAACAGGTGTCAATGTCGACTACAGCAAACATAAAATAACCAATAGAAAGCGAAATTGCATTCAAGAAGAGAAGTGGAAAATTAAAGCACAAAAGATACCTAAATTAAATACAGAAAAGAAAATATTTTTCCAATAAATCAGAAAAAGTCTATTAGAAATGTCGTCAGCCGTCACTCTGAGTGCCATAAATGTAAAGTTCGAACATCATTTTAATTAAGAAAAAATATATTGCGTGTAAAAATTTTGTTTGTTTAATGTGTTGTGAATGTTGGATTATACCCAAAGATTGTTACAACGATTTTATTTGTGATATTTGTTTTGGTGCGTAGACCTTTAATAATTTCGTTTTCTCTTTATTTTTTATGGTACATAAAGTGTTTATTGTAAACTATGCCTAAATTTTTCCATACACTTCCGCTGAGTGACAGTCCCCTGTTGAGGCAACTTATTTTATTTAATGTTTTTATTGTTAAATAAAGAAGATCTCATATATTTAATTAATATTAACCTTCTAGATACTTGTATTTAATTACTTATTTAAGTTTTAATTTAGATCTCGTTTTTTGCCAAATAAACAAAACTTTATTATGTTAATTTAATCATAGTGTAACTCAGAAGATAGAAAATTATGTTTCTCTTTATGTTTGAATAATGTTTTAGATTTTTTTGAGAGAATTTAAAATAATGTTTAGTTTTATTGTTTAGTTTCTTTAATAAATAACGATTGTTAATTGTACTTTTCTTTTAATTTACCTATACTCCCGAGTACTTAATGTGTAACGCAGCGGAAGAAGATTTCAGGTCATTGTCCATTCAAATTGCAATTTTGTCAAATTCTACCGCATTTTCTCTTATTTCTTGTTATTATAACAAAATTTAGATATTATAGAGTCAATCTGAAGTAAGAAACCCCCAATATCATGACAAATTTTTTTTGGCGTCATTTTGTCACCATACAAACTTTTATAAAACCGCCCACATCTATTCACAGCGCCAGTGAATCGAGCTGATTGGAAAGCACTCGGTCGTCGACGATTCGAGCCACTCTGCGCTGGATGCGTTCAAGTGAAAGGAGCTGGCGCTGGTGATCCCCAGCTCAGAGATGGGAACAGTATTCCATGTGTGGCCGAACCTGCGCCTTGTAAAAATGCAGGCGGTGTGCCGAAATGAAATACTATCCCGCCCTGCTGAGTACGCCAAGCTTTATAGAGGCCAATTTGGCCAAGTGACCACGAAATTACACGTCAACCGATATGTCGACGCCTAGGATTCCGATACTGGGTGAGGTAACAAGGGTAGCAGGTAGCCTTCAAACTGAGGTGATACGACAAAGGGGTTCTTTTTAGCGGTTAACACGCAAACTTGTGTCTTCTGTGCGTTAAATTGGACCAGATTTAGTCGCCCCCATTCCGAGACTTTATTCAGCTAAGACTCGACATCAGACACAAGTTTTTCCCGGTACTCGGAGACGTTTTCCCAGAGAAATATTGGCAGGACCGGTGTACAGAGCATCACCAGTGCTGTCACCGCATAGCAATGAATGTTACCAGTTTACAACATATCATTGATACGCAAAACAAATAGCGTTGATGATAGCACGCAGCCTTGTGGAACGCCAGTATTAACAGTCTTATAATCGGAGCATGCACATCCACCACCTTCTCCATCTGCAAGAAAGATGGTGATCAAATTGCATAATTTCTCTGGAAGCCCATAATAATTAAGCCAAATACCCCCTTCAGAAGATCACCAGCTGATCAAACCCGACGAAAACCGTATTTTCGGTCACTAATCAGCTGGTGATCCTCAAAGTACCGCATGAGCTGACTGTTAACAATGGATTCGATTATCTTGGAGAACAAGGAGGTGATGTAGTTTAATGGATCTGAGTGGTTGCCTTTTTTAGAGATCGAGTGGACGAAAGCCATCCTTCATGATTTTTGGGACTACGCCTAGGGAGTAGGAGCACCGGAAAAGACGCGTTAGAACCGGTGCAAACTCTGGAGCACACATCCTCAGCATAATTGGGGGACTCCGTCAGGCCCACTCGACTTATGGATGTCCAAGGAGAGGAGTGCTTTGTGAACCGAGTGCTGTGTGAACCGCACATCCAGCATGGAATACTCAAATCGCAGGATGGTCAGCGTTGTGCTCCCCCCGTCATCGAGAGTCGAGTTGGCCGCAAAGAAAGAGCCTAGTAGATCGGCTTTCTCCTTTGCGGAATGGTTACTTTCCTTGGCGGGAAACCAGAATGCACGGGTTCCAGAAGGAAGGCGAACTCGTTTCTTGCCAATTCTGCCTATGTGCTCTGGCTGGATGCGGAATTATACTTCTTTTTTTAGGGCGCTAGTGTTTACATCCCGGGACGTTAATGCGTCAGCCCAGGCCCGGTAACACTCCTGCTTATAGCATGATGCTATTTTACAGGAGCGACTAAAACATGGCTGAGATCTGCCTCCGATGAGCACCACAGAAGAAGGATTAAAAAGTTCCAAAGCCAAGCTGAAGTACCACACCAGCGAAAGACCAGCAACAACTTTGGGATCGTTTGACGAGAAGCAAACCCGCCACTAAGGGTAGGATGTAAAGAAAGACCGCATCCTATCCCAATCGGCTGAACTATAGTGCCAAACACGGGGTCAGCCTGCAGAATGCAACCACGATTTCAGCGTGAGTGGCACCATACTCCGGAAAAGACAATGATCCGAGGAGCCAATACTCGATGGAGACCTGATTTCTGTCCGGATGAGAGGTCAGCAGAAGGTCCAACAGGGAAGGTACATGATTCTCCACATCTGAAATCTACGTAGGTGATGTAACCGGTTTTGTCGGATCATATGCCAAGGCAAAATCATGAACAGATCTCTCCTCATGATCGGTTAAACGTGAACCAAGAAATTTTGCGTGGTGGGCGTTAAAATCGCTGAGGATCACGATTTCTGCGAAGGGGTCTGTTGTAGCAACGAATCTGTAGCCATTTGGACGTGATCGACGAGTCGGTCTGAATTAGGCCTCCGGCCACCTGCACTCACCAGGCGAAATGTGAAAGCAGACCTTCCACTTCACGCCGGTATTCTGTGAGGTCTTGGTACCATCCCGGTTTGAGCCGAACCATACGTGCAACCTGCCGCGTGGATCTACCACTGTTAAAACTTACTTAGAGTAATTACATACATACATATAAAATGATCAAAACATAAACAATAATTAATTATTTAACGTATTTTATTCAAAGGAAGTATTTTGTAACAGAAAAGCACATTATTTCAAGCTCCTCGGGAGAATTAAGAAGGCATTTTCGGAAAGTCCATTATCTCTAAAATATCGCTTTTACGGACAAAATTACTGAATTTTAATAAAAGCATGTTATTGCGTAAAGCATATTATATATTAATATCGGAGTTCTTGTGGGCAGTACTTCTTATATCCCCCGTAGTAATAAAAGGCAATAGGTATTAAGATTCGACGGGCAAGACGATCCTCGCCGGAGGCTATCTGATCTATTGGATCTTCTATGCGAGTTACCCGCAGAATATCCACATAACAAGCAATAATGGTAAGTAATATTAAGGTTATGTTCTAAAATAGTTTCGTAATTGAATATTTGGAATTACGAAGTTTATTTCGAAACCGTTCGCAAATAATTATGTAATAAAAATGTAGGAAGTTTCTTTATTACATTAAGAAATTTTAAAATATTCATTCTGTGTCACTTTCATAAGCATATTAGTATATTTGATAACCAACACTGTATTTACAGATCTTTATATACTTTTTTATTACATTATTTATAGTTTTATAGATATTTTAAAGTAAAGTAATGTAGTAAAATAGCACTCAAATGTACATTTCGTAAAACTTACCAAACTTTAACTAAACTACTATGAATTAAAATATAGGAAGTATAATTTAAAATGTCCGGGATACGAATTTCGGTTCGGATGTTGGCATCAAAGCGAGTGGTCAATATTGACACATAGCTTCTTCGCGCTCCGCCTGAGGCCAGCCATAGCGGCTGCTTTTCGTACTTTACACAGAAATTGTTACAAAATTTTGGTATTATTTAGTTATTTAGACTATACTCGTACATACATTATTTTATTACATTAATAAATGTATTTCGTTTTTCTTTCAACTTTATATTATACTCGATATTATAAACTGCAGTTATTCATTCATAAAAGAAGTCGGAATGTGTCAAAAAACACACGTACTTCAATTTACAATGCTGTACTGGTTCCTACCTTAATATATGGTAGTGAAAGCTGGGTGTGGTAGAAGAAGTATGAGATTAAAATTAAATCTGTAAAAATGTAGTCATTATGGATTATGTATGACAGGGTTGAAAATCATGTGATAAGAATAAAATGTGGGTAGAAAGAAAATGATGTGACCAGGAATAACAAAGGAATACTTCGTTGGTTTGGTCATATAGAAGGAATGAATAAGGAAAAAGTAACAATTAAATATAATAACCAAATTTATGTTGAAGAGAAAATTAAGTATAATAAGCAAATTTATGTTCAATCCTCAAAAGACACAAGTTTGCACGTTAACCGCTAAAAAGAACCCCATTGTCGTATCTCCTCAGTTTGAAGGCACTCCCCTTGCTGCCTCAGCTAGCATCGAAATCCTCAGCGTCGACATATCGAATAGTGTGCAGTTTCGTGGTCACTTGGAAGGGGTGGCCAAACTGACCTCTAAAAAGCTTGGCGTACTCAGCAGAGCGAAACAGTATTTCATGCTGGAACATAGCTTGCAACTTTACAAAGCGCAAGTTCGGCCTCACATGGAATATTGTATTATGGGCGGCACCCAGTAGCGCTCCACTTGACCGCATCCAGCGTAGAGCGATTCGAATCGTCGACGACCAATTTCTTTCCGATCGGCTCGATTCACTGGCGCTGCGTAGGGTGTTGCATCCCTTTTCATTTTCTATCGTATCTACCATGGATAATGCTCTGAGGAATTTTTCGGATTAGTTCCAATCGCTTCATCAATCGAATCATGCCCAGTTTCCATACATTGATTGACCTGTCTTTTGATTCCTTTAACAGGTCGCATCTACCTACAAATAATGTTGTATGAAAACAATTATTGTTAATAACATAATAACTTATCATCTTTTCATTTAGA